TTGGGCGAGCTCGGGCGCGAGCCGAGCTCGCCCAAATGGCAACGAGCCGAGCTCGCGCTCGGCTCGTTGCCGACGAGCCACGAGCTCGGCTCGTGCGAACACGAGCCGAGCTCGTCCGTCAATGGGCCGAGCCGGCTCGGCTCGGCCCATTGCCACCACTAGGCTCCAATCATCTTCAATTTGGGTCTGAAATGTTCGTTGGTGCGAACTTGCGACTGGACTGTCTTTACTTTGAAATTGTTGGTTGTTGGTTGCTTGTTGGAGGAAATTGTTTACATAGGTAGCTTTGACTTGATGAGGGGAGTCAACCAGTGGTGGATTCCGGCCGGTTGGGTGGTCGGACGGCGAGTTGTGGGTGTTTGACCGATTTTCAGGCTGCAATTTTTAAATTTGAGTTCCGGCCAAATTACAATTAGTTATAGGGATTTCTTGGTATGTAGTTATAGAGGGTAATAAGGAGAACATGTTGGGGCCAATATCTGAGGGTAATGAGGAGAACATGTTGAGCTCATGTATTAGGCTGAAAAGGGGCAAAATAGATTTTTTTTTTTTTTTAATATTTTTGTAAGTTTTGAATTGATTGCATTTTTTAGAAAGTTTAAGAGTAAGATTGCAATTTATTCTTAATTATTCTTTTTTGTTTTATTTATTAAGGAGGGTATATTAGTCGTTTTATGTTAAAAATTGATCAAAATGACGTTTGCTCAAAAAATGTGAAAGGTAGGGACGTTTAGAGCCAAAAAACGAAAGGTATGGACATTTTGCACAAAAACGTGCAAAGGTAGGGACGTTTTGCGCCAATTACCCTCCATAAAATATATGATCGAAAATAAATTTGAGAAAAAATGAGTTTAAAAAAAAAAAATTCAAACCAGAACTTAAAGCGCGTGAGATTTTAATCATAAAGGGAACAACGAGCAATGCCCTACCAACATAATGTCATCCCCGCTTGGTAGGGATTAAAATTATATTTTTAGTAGATTTTTATAAAAATTAAAAACATGTAGTTGAAAAGTTGCGGATTTAATGAAACGTATGGTTGAAATTAATTGTTGACTTTCACTTTAGGGGCGGAGCCAAGAATTTTATTTAGTGTGGGCACAATTCTTTAGATGTGTTTTTATCTTTTACACGCTTGATAAGTGTATTTTCTACACTTATTCGGGATTTGAAACTATAGAATTTTTTTTTTTTTTTGGGCAAAATAAGACCTAAATTATGTTATATTACATCTTGTAGGTAAAACTCAATGTTTGATGAAAAATTGGAGAAGATAATGCAAAAATAGAGAAAAATGGTAAAATACAAAGTTCGAGGATCAAGTTGCAAATACTCAAGAAGATAATTTGAAGATTGATAGGAGACAATTGGATGGAATTAGAATTAAAAAATGAATGAAACATGATCAAAGTATTATCAAAATCAATTTTCAATCGCCCAAGATATATTACAGATTTTTAGCCGAACATTGAGACCCCTTTTTGGCATAGTAAACGTCCGAATTGGAAAAACTCCTTTTCAATCAAAGTTATATCCCTTTAAGTTATCTTTCCAATACACTTTGAATCGCATCAAGCGGATATTAGAAGTGAAAGTTATGACTAAAATACGGACTGCTATGCAGAGACAAAAAATCCGCTCGCGAAGGCAACTTTCCTTATTCGATTAGAACTCTTTTGGAAACCAATTTGGACGTGATTTTCAACCAATTTTCGGCTCCTATAAAGAGAGAACAGCGGAATACATATGGAGGACCTCTCTAAACCTAAAAATCTCTATATTATACATATTTTAGAGGCGAATAACATGACTAAGAACGTGTAATCAAGGCGAATTGCATATGATATTGAAGATTCTTCATCCGGATTCAAGATTCACATCAAGAACGTGGATTTTTCCTACTTCTTCCATCTTTCTTATTTCCGGGTGATACATTTCCAATTATTCTTGTGTAATTTAATTATAAGAATGTTAGGCTAGTTTTTCATTATATTGGATAAATGATGAACCATATTGCTTATTTGTTTTAATTCGAGACAATTAATTTAGTACTTTTTGATTTTTCTTGATTGGTTTTGCATTCTCATTGAACTATTTGATTGCTTTATCACCAATTAGATAGTAAGTTGCTTGTTGTAGTGTATGAATACTCACAATAAGTTTAGAACGCGGCAAAATCAACACATGGACAATAGGTATTAGGAATAATATCTATGACATGTGCAATCATGTGTGATAAATCATGTGATTCAATGCATGTTTTTCATATGAATTCGTACTAGGAAAAGGATCGGGTCGTGTTAAACATAGGTTTAATATATTTTGGAAAAAAATATTGAATAAAAGTGGATTATCGATTGTCTTGAATGCATGAATTTACTAGATTACGAATTAAGAATTGAAATAAATGGAAATATGGGGATTCACGATTCCAATACAAATATTTACATATTAGATAAATACTTTATTTGTTTTGTTAGTTTATGATTAATATAGATTACATACAAATCATCTCTTTTTTGATATTACCACACTTCGAATTTAATAGTAGTTATTGAACTACAAATTAGACCTTATTTCTTGTGGGAACGATACTCTTAACTCACAAATATTATTACTTGTACAACGATCCCATACACTTGAGGGTTTTACGCGGACAAGTTTTTGGGTGTGAATTTTGAATCCGGATGAAGAATTTTCAATATCCTATACAATTCGCCTTGATTCTCGTTGTTAGTCATGTTCTTCGCCTCCAAAATATGTATAATATAGAGATTTTTAGGTTTAGGGAGGTTCTCCATATGTATTCTGCTGTTATCTCTTCATAGGAGCCCAAAATTGGTTGAAAATCACGTCCAAATTGGTTTTCAAAAGAGTTCTAATCGAATAAGGAAAATTGCCTTCGCGCGCAGATTTTTTGTCTCTACACAACAGTCCGTATTTAGTTATAACTTTCTGTTCTGATATCCGATTGATTCAATTCAAAGTGCGTTGGAAAGATAACTCAAATGGCTACAACTTTGATATAAATAGAGTTTTTCCAAGTCGGACGTTTACTTTGCCAAAATGAGGTCGCAATATTCAGCTAAAAATTTGGAATATATCTTGTGTGATTGGAAATTGACTTTGATAATAATTTGATCATGTTCCATTCATTTTTGAATTCTAATTCCATCCAATTGTTTCCTAGAAATCTTCGTAGTATCTTTTTGAGTATTTACAATTTGATCCTTGAACTTTGAATTTTACCATTTTTCGCCATTTTTACATTCTTTTGATGTGTTTTTATCCTTTACACGCTCTAACAATTCTTTTTCGATTAATGTCTTTGTGACAAATATACTAGTGTCCGCTTTGATTTTCCACTTTTTTAGAGTCATGGTTTTGCCTGGTATCATGTCACTTCCATCAATTACTTCCCATAGGTCTTGCCATTGAAGATAAAATTCTATGCAAGTTTGTCATGTGGTATAATTTTTGGTTCTTGAGCTTTTTTATTATGTGTATCACTTATAAGTTGTCAATCTTAACTTAATTTACCTTCTCGTAATCAAGCAATCTTTATTGAAGTTTCAAAATTTCAAAAATTTGTCTATGATTATTATGCTCTAATACCAAATTGTTGAATTTAAATATTAAAGAAACATTTTAATTAATAAAAAAATTGTGTAATATTTTGTTACCAAAACACATTTTCTCTCACCAAAGACCTATACATGCGACATGCCTCCTCACTATCTTCAATGCTATCACTCCACTTAGCTGCAACTTCAATCTCTCTCCATAACACCACTCAACCACTTTCTCTAAATCTATCAATTCTCTATTTCTCTCTTCTCACACACCACTAACTCTCATAACTCTCAATTTTCCCACACCACATGTATGTATGTATGCACTGCCTCTTTCTTTCTCTCACACTCCATTTAGATACACGCATAAGATATATATACTTAGTAAAGTCGGCGAATTGGGCTGCATAAGTTCTAGACGAATCTGTCAAGGGCAGTGGAAGTAAATTAGTGAAAAATAGTGGTAATGAAGTAAATAAATCCTAGCACCAGCACATTCAAGATTCTTCTTCAATGTTGATGATTTCTTCACTTCTATCAGTTGTTGCTTTCCAGTATATGGGCACCAAGAATTTAAAGGAAATGTGCCAAGTTGGACTCTTCATGGCTCTGCCCCTGTTTGACTTGGACATTAAGCTAGAGCTAGAGCAGACTTAAGCTCAATTTTTGCTAAAGTCGGCTTCAACAAATCAAGACGTCACAATGAGATATCAAAATTCTCCTCTTTTATACGGGCAGAGCATCGACTGTGAAAAAAATATGTGCAATTTTTGTTAGACAATATTCTGCCGCAGTTATCCTTTAATTCGGGTAATTAATAATGAAGAAGTCAAAGATGATTCGTAATAAATAATGTAGGCAATAAAGCTCGTTGTACAATATTAGATTACAACATTGGATTAGGCTCACTATTATTTAAATCGCGGGGTCCATCTCCATTGTGAGATGATGTAACCCAATGTTGTAATCCAATATTGTACATGTAGTATTGTTCATAATGTAGGAGAAACAATCATAAAATGGTTAATTAATTATGTGACAAGATGCCTTGAAGTGAATAAATACAACCTGGAAAACATCGATAAGTTATTGCAACATGAATATCATCTAAAGGAAGCTGGAGAATATGGGAATCCAATATTACAAAAATCATCGAAAACTTTGTCTCTTTTCATCAGAATTTGTCCTGTTAACAAGAACAAAAGTAGCAAGGGACAAGGGATTATAAATACCTGTGTACATTTCATTAAGCACTAAGCGAGCAAATTGATCATTGGATTGCCTGAAAAACTCGACGAATCAAATGGAAATTTGCGCAGAATCTGAAACAAGCGCTGAAAAATGCAGCATCTCGGTTGACGTTCAAGAGACAAAGTGTGTAAAGAGGCGACGCAGATCTCCTCCCGTGGTAGCACTTAGCAACAGCAACCAGCAGATAGAACAACGGCAGCCACAGGTTTTTAGGGTTGATCAAACTACTGCAACTACGACGAAAAGAAGTTCAAGATTCCGCGGAGTTAGCAGGTTTAATATACAGTTCAATCTGAACATCAGTGATTTTCTTGTTCACTTCATGCAAATTCTTGCTTGGCCAACCTCAAATTTGATTGGAACGAGTATTCTAAAGCTTAGGCTACTACATTCCCCCCTCCCCTCAGGCATCGTTGGACCGGCCGCTATGAAGCTCATCTGTGGGATAAAGGGTCATGGAATGCTACTCAGAAAAAGAAGGGAAAACAAGGTAAATAATTTTTCGTAGCAAGCATTCTTTAACTTTTATGATTAATTATTGTAAAAAAGTGCTTATGCATTGTTGTTTTGACATTGTCTTATGATCCTATGTTGGCTATAATTTGGTTGGAGCAGTCTATCTTGGTGAGTACCTTATAAATTGCTCGTTACCAAACGTGAACTTAATGGATTACATATGTAACCCCACAATTTGATTCATTAATTAGGAGCTTATGATGAAGAAGAAGCTGCAGCAAGAGCATACGATTTGGCTGCAATCAAGTATTGGGGAACAGCAACCTACACAAATTTCCCGGTATGATTCTCACATATAATGTGTAAATTTCATTTACTCAACTTTGCGATGTACTAAACTCAGATAAATTATTTTTTGCAGATATCTGATTACGACAAAGAGAGAGACATAATGCAAAATGTTACCAGGGAGGAATACTTGACCTCTTTACGAAGGTACTTACATAACTCGAAAGCTATAATTTTTATTTACAAGCATCAATCGAACCAAAACGTATATCTAACTTGTTGACATCTAATACAGAAGAAGCAGTGGTTTTGCAAGAGGTGTATCCAAGTATAGAGGCGTTGCGAGGTAGATATATAACGAGCATGATTTTCCTTTTCCATTCCTTTTCACCCATCATGAACTAATTTGTAGTGATTATCGTTTCAATTCATTCAACTATAGGCATCATCACAATGGGAGGTGGGAAGCAAGAATAGGCCGCGTATTTGGCAACAAATATCTCTACCTGGGTACTTATAGTGAGTATATATCAACTTCTAATCCTTAAACACAGATTTGTGTAATTTAAGGATTGTTGTCTTAGACTGAAACGTTAATTAATTTGGTTCATAATGTACTTGTTTTGCAGGTACTCAAGAAGAAGCTGCACGTGCATATGATATTGCAGCAATAGAATACAGAGGGATTAATGCAGTTACTAACTTTGATTTGAGCACTTATATCAGATGGCTAAGACCTGATGCAAATTCAGTAGTGTTTAAGGGTTTGATATCAGAAGATGAGGCTTTACAATCCAACTATAACTATATAAATAATGCAAACAAGGAACCAAAATTCTCGAACCCGAGTTCTTTCTGCATAAACAACCCAGCTATATCCGAAAAACACGAGATTATTGAAAGAAAAATGCCCCTAAGCCCTTGTAATAAGACATCTTCTCCAACTGCACTAGGCCTCCTTCTTAGATCTTCCATGTTTAAAGACCTCGTGGAAAAGACTACTTGTGCTGCCAATGAAGAAACCGAGAAAGATGGGGCGAAGATCGAACTTCAAACGGGTGGAGAAGAAGATAATTTCGCGTTCTACAATGGAAATAATCATGTTACAAACTATGATTGTGCTTCGAATATGGAAAAGTTGCCAAGATTGGATCCCTCGGAGAATGATGATTTGTCTTTGTATAGTGGAAGAGGACAGCCCTTCTTGGACTTAATGCCTTGAAACATAGAACAACACTTAATCCTTGTCACTGCAATAATATCCAAGAATCATAACGTTTACATTCCCAATCATAGTCCAAGGAACGCACAGGTTCGACATCAGTAGTTCTTTTCTTCTGTTTGATTTTCGTTTTGTAGCTTTACTTAAGTGTGTAGATTGGTGCTAACCGATCCACTTTAGTGTAAACGCAATAAGGCCCTTTGCTGATATTGTACTTGTTATTGCACTTTGAATAAGTTTCAGAAAATGATACAAAATTTTAATATTAAGTGGATTTATATTGTCAAAAGGAGGAACAGTTTTTTTTTCCCCCCCGACGCTTGAGGAATTTGTAATGGATGGTTGACATGACCCACAAATATGTTGCTTTTGTTTTTGGGCCAATAACACACCCATATGGCGCTTTAGAGATAAACATTGGTTTTAGAAATTCTTATAAGCAAGTTATAAGCTTAAACAAAGATGTTAAGGAAAAAAAAAGTTAAACTACATAGTTTGAGACCTTTTAATTAAAAAGTGACACATTATGTAACTTTCTTTATCATGAGAACTTTATGGATATATTCAATTGAGATTTTTAAATTTTTTTGAGATTTAAAAAGTTTATGAGTATTCAATATAGGTTTTTAGAGACTCTAAAAATATAGCTGTATTCAATCGAGACTTTTATAGACTCTTACAAATTCTTTAAAGGTCACGATGTATTCAATTAAAACTTTTTAATTTTTAAAAATCACTTTAAGTCATTGAGTATTCAAATTGTCAATGATTTTTAAAGACTTTTATAAAAATCTATCAGGTACTAACTTTTAAGCTGAATTTACTAAAATAAAATCTCAAATTTGTCTTTCGTCTATCTCAAGATTTTGATAGACTTTCACAAAAATAAATAAATAAAATTAATCTGTATTTTTTGTTTCTTTCAATATTTCTCGTTCTTTTTTCCTTCTACGGACGTTAAAGCCATGATTAAAAAATTATTTGTTTCTATTTTTCTATTTTTCCCCTCTCTGTCTTTTATGGTTTATCTCTATTTTCTATAAACAAATTAAATTGTAACTAAAATTCATATAATTTTTTCTCATCCATTTTTTAATGAAAAAAAGATCATTTTATAATTAATAATAAGATTTTATATATAAAAAACTAATTTATAATTAAATTTAAATATATTGATTACTTGTTTATACTTATGTCATATTAATAATATTGAACATTAAATTTTTATTTATTTTTATCAAAAGAATATATATATGCAATTTATCACCTAAGTATTGTTACTTAACATAAGCTAAGAACCGATGACGTAACACACTATAATAGGTGGTGTAATCAGTTTTGTAACCATCAATTATCTCTTACCACCTATTGTAGTATATCATGTCATCCGATTGCTTAACATAAGTCTAGCACCGATGCTTACAACATCAATCACGTATATATACCAAAATAAAGGCAGAACATGAAAGAATAGTGCTATGAATTGAAATAGTGATATAATTAGCAATTTATACGAAGAAATAATCTTAAAAATAAATTTAAGATAAATTGATGAATAGTGAATAGTAAAATAATTCGACTTTTAAATTGTTACAACTTGAATAGTTATAATTTTTCTTGAAAAGATCTTTAAATAAAGATCAAAGAAATATTACGAAAAATTTAAAATGTGGAAACGATTATATAGAAAGAAATCTTAAAAATTACACTCTGCCTTTCTTCTTGAAGAGTTTTTCCTTTATAGAAATCTTGAATTGCTCGGACTTCAAATTTTCTCTAATTTAATGAAGAAATCTTGAAAGTACAATTATATCACTTCTTTGAAGGACAACTATCAATTTTTGTGTCACTTGATTCTTTTTGAAGGACAATTATCAATCTTATATTGAAATTTTTAAAGGAAAATTATTTATCTTTTTCTGACTTGAAAAGAATCTTGAGGGACCATTTGTTTTGAAAAACCATGAGAATATTGCTTTTGCATTTCACCTTCTTGAATTATTTGTCATCTAACAAACTTGTTAAGTCCAAATTATAATTGGCAATTTCTAATTTGTAATTGATAATTTTCTTAGTCAAAATCAAGTCCTAGTTGAATTGCATTAGGAGTTTATCGAGTTGTAATCAAAGTCAAAATAGGAGTTATAGAATCCTAATTAAAGTCAAAAATGACAATTTCTAAATTTGTAATTGGCAATTTCCTTAGTCATCAAGTTCTAGTTGAATTGTATTAGGAGTTTATCGAGTTGAAATCAGAATCAAAATAGGAGTTATAGAATCCTAATTAAAGTCAAAAGAGTTGGGTTGATCGTATAATTCTTGAAGGAGTTCGAGAAGATCATATATGATCATTGCAATGCATTTAGAAGTCCAAAGAATGTCGAAGAGCCGTACAAGTTATCCTCAAAATTCTTAGTCGTAACTTGCAACGCATTTTTCATATAGAAAACATTGGAATTTGGATAAGGCTAGTTTTAGAATAATTGTTTCCCTTTGAGTTAGCTTTCCAATCCATTTTCAATCACCTCAATCGGATAGCGAGAAAGAAAGTTATGATAGATATATTGACGATTGCCAGCTGTTGCTCGCCGTCGCTAGATTGGCGCTTGAGCGACAAGTCAACGTTCAGAATTCTATTTTGCTTCAAACACACGGTTTTTCAATCCATTTTCATCCCAAATAATTTTCCCTAAATATATCCTACCCTTTGAACGTCCAAAAATATGTTGAATCATATTTATTCCATAGAGATCAATTCTTTGATGATCCAAAATNTTTATTGATTCCAAAATTTAACCACCACATATTACTTTATCCATAATTTTTTTCAAAACATATTTTGTCGATCAAGTCATATTGTTTCATATTAAACCACAGATCAAAACACACAAGATCTTTTGATCAAATATCAAACCATTTAATCCATCGGAGATAAATCGATACTAGAAATCGAGAGCTGTTGCAGAAGCACAAATTTAGGAGGATTAAGGTGAGGTACCTGGAGTCGGGATCTGGCGTCACGAGCACGCAGTCTAGGAGGGCTAAGGTATAAACCAGGATTCTGGATTTGTTTTGAAGGAGCACACCTCCAGTACGATCAAGGAAGATTGCAGGAATTGAGATCATAAGTTCTAAGGGGTAGACAGGTCTGGATCGTTCTGTAAGTTTGTTTCGATTTATAGTGGATTATTAACTACAAAGTGCCTAGAGTTTTTACACACTTGAGGTTTCTCCGTGATCATTTTTGGTGTTCTTTATTACTTTAATTATTGATTGTGGTATTCAAATTTAGGATAAATTGACTTGTTAGATGTAATCATTTAGAAATAATTAAAAAGTGAATTGTTGCTTTTTTTATGATAAAAGTGATGTAAAAAATTACACGCTCATATTCAGGGGGAGAAAATAAAATTAGTCATGTGCTTGAGCTCGGTTTCAGGTCCTAAAATTTCATTTGAGTTTGACTTTTATTAGTATGGAACATACTTACTTAACAGTGATGTTTGCATGTTCTTTCTCACAAATTTAAGGTCTGGAGTCCTATTTTCAAATGATTAGTGGCAGTTTACACACATAGGTCGCTTATACAATTTATTCCATGATAACTTGAACTAAGTATGTGGGAAAGTTTACTATTCATTGTTTATCTTTGTGCTTGATTCATAGCAATATTTTCAAGTTCTAATGAGTTAATGCTCATATTTCATACTCAAAGTGAGGGTGCAAAGCATTTTTTTGTTGCTCTTTAGTTATAGTGTTGCCCTTGTCATTTTGTGACAAAAAGAAGGAGTAGTTTGGATATGATTTTGGAGTAGATATTTTTTTATTTTCAACTAGATGTACATGTTTTTTTTTTTTTTCTACTTGATGTATCTAAAAACTTTTAAGTTTGATTATATAATATATTCAGTTGTGCTAAATTAAGTTTGATGTTTTAGTAATATTGATATGTCTTCTTGGTATATTGGGTTGCATTGGTACTATGTATTGATTTAACATGCATGATTGAAACTGAATAATACTATATATTTCGTAGATTACATATATTCTATAAACTGCTTGAACCGCTTTACTTATACTATTTTCCATACATTTCACACTGGGTGTTGAGTTGTCTATTTCACGAAACAAGTTCTGATTGAATGCAGATTTCGTTCAAGTCAGTTAATTGTGTCATAGGGTTTTGAGTCTGTATTTCATATCTGATTATTGCCTTGTCACAGAATGCTAAATGGGGAGTTTGTTAGATTTTTAATTATGTAATTGGCAATTCTGTAAACAAAAGAAATTTAATTGTAAATATTGTAAAAAGTGAAGGAGTAATGTGCAATTATATAAAAATAGGTTTTTAGGTTTAGGGTTTGAGTATGACAAAAGAAGGAAAATACGGCGCGAATTTTCGCTAGATTATTGCCATGGATTGGCTCGAGCGTAAAAAACAGAACCTTCGTTGATCAAATATTGATTCGCTTTAGCTCGAGTGATAGTCTGTCGTTCGACTGTCACTGAGCTCTCGCTCGAGCTACAGTGATGTCCGGAAAATTTTTATTTCACAATTTAAAGGCTTTTTCTCTGACCTATTACTTTTCTAACCTACCTATAAATACCAAAACACATCTGAACGTGAAAAATAAAGTTGATCGTTGTGAGAGTTTCATCAGAGAGAATTCATACATATTCCTACTTTCAACATTCGTCCAATGAGTTTGTTTTGGTGAGAAAAACAAATGTTGATCATTGAAAGAGCTTCATCAGATAGAATTCCTACATATTCCTACTTTCAACCTTTATCTTGAAAGTGTGTTTTGTTGAGAAAAAAATAATCAATTTCGTAATCCAAATACCAAACTGTTCTTTTCACCACATCTGTCAGAGTTGTTGAAGATCGAGGGAAGTTGACTGGAGTTCTAGTCATTGAAAAACGCGGTGTTCTTCGTGGATCCATAGGAGATAAACGATTTCACAAAGTTAGAAGTTACTGAAGGAGAGCACAATTCAGG